TTTAGCTGACTTCGGGCTTCACAGAGGGAAGGTTCATCAAAGTAGCAGAAAGTCGAGGGGCGGGGATCAGAAGAGCGATTCACAGATGTAAAAGAGGCAGACAGACACAAAGGTAGAGAAAAAGGTAAGATGAGTACTGTGGAAGGGGTCGAATATGACAACCAGGGGGGTCGTGGTAGTTTGAAGTCAGAAGTCAACTGCCGGTTAATAGACTTTTTTGCCGTATGAGTATACGTTGCCCAGGGTGCACCACGTGGAGGTAAGTCTATCGCACACCCCACTTTAAATAAATAAATAAATATCATATCATATCATGTGCCACCCATACGATATTTCCTGAGATCATTGAGGCAATGTGATGGTCACTTACTCTCAGTCATCTCTGCCTCTGCGAATAGTTCTCCAACGATTGATTCAAGCAGGACTCATGTTTGTGAAGGTGTTTTAGCTCACATGTTGAGCTAATTGAAGAGCGTGAGGCTATTTCTATATATATTACATCAAGGATTTAAAACTACATTTCTTACCACGGTTTAGTGTTACTTACCAGAAATCTGTTTTGTAAGTTTTGGTAAAAATTCGATCCTATTGCTTTAAACTGCGTATCATATTTAGAGTCGGGTTAGCGTATAGAGCCTGAGAAAGATAAATCAAACATTCCGCTAATTCAGAGACAATAAATTTTGGTCAGCAAATGAATAATTGGATTCAAGTGTTGAAGGTAGTTGTGCTTTACTAATGAAATCCCTAAGAGCTTACTACTGGGATGTAGAGTGTATTATGCACAAGGTCATGACCTTCAATTTTATTAGACTGAGTTGTAGCACCAAGTCACAATAATCTGACATTGATAAAGGATTAACCAATCGATGTCAAGTTGATACATGAACTATGCCAAACCAGTCCAGTTGCATCTTTCGCTCAAACATTACCCTCCTTCCGTCATACAATCTGGTTCTCCAGTTTCAACTTTATATCCACCCTTTTCTCTGTGGAAATCGTCAGTTCTGAGAAAGGTTGGGATCTCCTCTTAGCCTTGCAGATCAGTGGATTTATCTAGCTTACCCAGTTTGCAAAGGTAACTTTTGGAGCACAAATTCTGTAGCATCTTTTTTCACATGTTTTGCCAAGACGTTCCAAGGCGTTATTACTTCTGGTCTGATCGTATTTTTAAGTAATATTTCCGCTCTTATTTAAGATAGTTTTACCTCATTCATCCTCATTCATTCAATATGTCCTTGTAAGCTTTGAGTGCAACAGCATTCATGACTATTTTATTTGAAGCACTTCTATTGTCTTGACATTGGCGTTCACTGTCCACTTTAGACAGAAAATGCTCAGCATTTTGTTAACACTGACTGACAATTCTAAATTGGCTGGACTCTTTAGCCAACTCACTCATCTACCACTGACTAATTTAGTACGTAAAATCCAAAGGGGGTGTCTTAGATGCATTAATCACTCTTCCAGTAAGAACAGTACTTCGGGTGAGAAACCTCTCGAACATTGTCTAGCCTTAATTTCGTAAAAAAGTATAGAGCTCTCAGTTAGTACACTGCATTGTCATCAAGATGGCGCAAAATTTACTAAAAATTAGAAAAAATGTCATCTGAAAATTGCAATGACCACACATACGCGCACGCACACACACACCCACGTACACAGATTTGATTAAATTTGAGCAAAACCTTAGCCTGTTCCAATCGATTAAAACCATTTCATGTCATCAATGACAGCGGATTTACATTTGTTAACAGTGACTTTAGCAGAACATGGAGTTATGCATACCCCAGACCTCACAATTGAAATAAGTAATACTCTCTGGAACACCAAGCTTGCTAACAAGATTGCTTGTTAAAGCCGTCATTTCATGGTGTGTCTAAACATGTAGTAGTGATATAATCTACTTATTCAGATTTAGATAATAGAACATAAGAACACAACACGATTTTAATAGTGGTATAATGAAAATGGCAATGCACATTGGAACCACAAAATCTCGACCGCAAATTGCCCAATTTTTATAAAGAAGGCGCAAGACAAAGGCTTAGTAAAGGTCATGTCAGAACACTACAAATTAACCCAACTTTTGGCCTTATTATTTCCGCTGTTGGTAGATATGACAACCACAGATGACAATTTTAATTACTTTCATTCATCAGCTGCTCAGCTATATCAAAACTCATGACATCAGTTTTATATATAAATATATAAATATAAATATATATATATATATTTAATTTGAATGTATTTTAATTTTAGCCAGTGATATTTTTGCTATAATGTAGATCTTAATAGATTGAAGCATTTTAAGAAGCCACTCTTGAATAAGGCAAGAATATCAACTTAAATTACTTAAATTGTATTTCAGTAGCGATTGTTTGGTCAAAAAGAATGAAGGGCATGGGAAAACCCAGTGTTGACATTATAGAGTACGGAAGTATCAACTCGCCATGGTGACTATAAGCACATGTACACTCAAAGTCAACGCATGGCTGAAACACAAACGTGACAGTCATAAACGCGTAGTAGTTTGGTTAAAAGCGCGTTCTATCGACCTCGCCTTAAGCGTACAACACGATTCACCAATCCGCGTAGAGATCAATAGGTATGTAGTTAAGCTTGCATCTGATTGGTAAGCCTAGTCATCGGGGCATTGGTCAGATATAATTAGCCGTCATACAGTGCATATGCGTATGCGCAGATCACGTCACGCGTGCATCGACGGTCGTTACACTGCGTAACCTAGTGACACGTGTGCACTCAAGGACATACTACCGCACCAGCACGCAATCTAATACGTACGCACCTCACGACATTCACACACCCTGCAATTGCGTGAAATGACGTGTTTCTTTAGTTGAAACTCACCCTGTGTATTGTGTACTGCGTTGCTAAATGCTCCATCTTCATTTCTTTTTCAGACAGCGTTTACGATTCTACAATTGCAGTGATAGAACAATTGAATTTATTGATGTCTAATGGTGGTATTCAACGTCTTTCCTGCAATGTCTTCTTCCGTACCTGCAGCAAACACTAGTAATAATAGCAGCAAATCTACGTCTTCCCCCTCCTCTAGTTCTTCAGCCAATAGCTCTGATTTTACCAAGGAGCAATGGTTGGAGCTACTTCGTATCCTCCCTAGCACTAGCCTCGTGAACCTTCAATTGGCCTGGAAGGAGTTTGTCGAAGAGACAACAGGACAACACAACCCTGAACAAAAGACTCTTCTTCCAGATGCCTCCACTCTAGTACGCGCTGTGGGAGTTGATCAAAATGAACTGACTCAGAATGCCTATGACAGACTCCGGTTTGATGCTCTCCTTAAGCAACAATTGGATTTAGAAAGTAAAGCCATAGAACAGCCCAACGGTTTAGATGCTCTTGCAGCAGCTGCACTTGCAAACACCAACACAGAGGTAAGCGAGCACTGTCTTTTTCTAAATTAGAGTAATTTTGTCTTATCGGGGAGACGGTACACGCCCATATGACCTATATTCTAAATGAATCATACATTTATTTGTCTACCTAGGGAAAATGATAACGCCTATAGTTGCTATGACACTCTGTAGTCTTAGCAACCATGGGCGTTATTACAACCTGTTACGTAAGTAAGTTGGGCGGTCGGGTGAGATTAAGTCGCTTATTTTGCGTTTTCTCAAAGCCATAAATGGTTGATAATCGGAAGACCGGGTAAGTAGCCAACAGGAGTCGAAGTGAGGCACACGCACAAATGGCCTTGGTGTGCTGGTATTAGTGATCGCCTATTTGTGCATTGTTTATATATGTGCACATTATGTGCTTAGCATATACAACTACAGGCGTGCAAATACATCGGTTTAAAGGACCAGAAATGTCTTATTCACTTCTTATTTGTGTTTTGTGCTTAATTTTTAATGCTGTTTAACAAGTGGTTTTGCAAAACAACAGGTATGAGAAGAGCTCAAAACGTGAAAACCACATGCTTTAGTGCTAGCGTTAGTCATTCTCTATTTACATGTGAAATGCTGTGTTTATCCACTTGATTATCGATTTTTCTTTATCAACGTCAGCTGAGTTCTGCTCAGTTTGGGTCTTAAGTCGCTTTATCAATTGGAATCGCGCGGTTTCAATCGCTCCAATTCCCTGTCACCCTAAACTTCCCATTTTGTGTCTACTTTTTTTCGAACCCGTGACAATTTGGTAGAATAATACATTGACCCAATTAGGTGTTTTGGCCTTAGCATTAGATATTGATTTTTACAATGTACCGTTCAGTGTGGAGCAGCTTGTTTAGTTTCCCAATAGCCCACCTTTTGGATGCTTTATCTGAGTTTATGCGCCCTTAAATTTGAGATAAGTGGAGATTGAGAGAAATCCTTGTGACTAATCATGTGGTGGCTACGTGCTACTTGCCATGGGTTTGATCTAGGCGTATTTAGCATAGCTAAAGCCAGTGAACCCAAACAGAACGGAATTGCAGGTGATGGTTGTGCTCTATGAATGAGTCATGCCTATTTGATGATCTGAATTATGCAAACTAGTGAAGTGGTGCTAATTAACGCTTTTGATATTGATTAGGAGATTCCAAAAAGTGTGCAATGACCTCATTATACGGAGCTGACTCATTTACCACCTGAGATCATTTTGGATATAAACTGGGCATATAGAATGACTAACCTTTAGTGTGACTCACTTAGGTCTTGTGGACATTCCTTATTGGTCCATTCCTAGCATTTACCTTAGCACAGAGTGATTAGTCATCAAGTAGATTTTTGTATGCGCTCGCAGCCGATGTGTTTCATCAAAAATATTTAAAATTTCGACCTAAAAGTAGTTTCTTTATTTTATAATTCTTGACCTCCATCTATTTGACAGTTGATAAGAAAAGAAAGGTAGTTGAATTAACACTTTTCACAATCCACATTTTGTCAATTACTCAAATGTGTCGGGTATGCGAAACTTTTACTTAAAAGATCAATTCAACTAGTTCCTTTCTTCAGCCACATTGGGAGTTTTGCGAACTCAAAAGGATACTAGTTCGACGCCAAAAGGGTTAATGGCATTCATCATGCTATCATTTACTACACCGCATTCTCGGTAATGAAAAGTGCTACTTTCTTACATGATTGAGAATTTAAAGTTGTCTATTGATTATATGGACTAATCGATATTTATCTGGTTTTCCAAAAACCTGATTTCCAAAATAGTGCTTATTTGTATGACAAACTATCGTAACAATTGAATTTCAAGTTAGTCACCTGAATTTACGCTACAACTATTTCATTTACCACAATTAGAACTGTTATCATGCGTGACCTTAAAACGTGTTACCAATTCGTCTCTAATTCCCTGTTGTGTAGTGGTATCGCGTGGTAAATAAGGCCAACATAATAACTTGCTCTACGGGGCATTTTTATGGATGGTTTCGGATATTGTGGTTATTATCAATAAGTGGGTCTGATGGGTGCATACAAATTACAAAAACAGCACTCTCCCATAGGTGCGCCCCCAATGACGACGAGTATATTCCAACTCCAATGCACCCTAGCCTATTAACTAATTGGTAATGAAATGTCACTTTTTTGATCACAATCGTGTTGAACTGGGTCAAATATAAGAGCGCTACAATCGTCATTGATCTGAAGTGACTTTTCAAATGGAGCAAGAGATCACATGAACTATCTGGCGTAGTTACGCTTTACCCACTCTATTGCGTAATTTCTTAATACGCTCCACTAAATAACGCAGTTCACCCCCTCAAGTTCAAAACAGGGATCTTGTTTTCACTTATTATTTAAAATTGAAAATATTCATTAGTCCCCCCCCCCCCCCCCCCCTAATTTTCCACTATTAGCGCGCATTGATTTTGAAAACTACTTATTTATATTTAAGTAGTTTCATGTCTATGATAGTCATTACTATATTCTAGACCAATGTGACTTCAACATCAGCGGTTACTGTGTATCAAGGCAAGCCGGTGCCCGGCACCAGTCTGGTGGCCATTCCATTCACTCCCCAAATAACTCCTGCCATTTTAGGCGGCTTCAAGTCTGACTCAAGTCAACGTCAGTCACCAACTATCCGAGAAACACCCAAAAGACTAGCTGCTACCAGAGCCGAAGCAGAACAAGCGGCTCAAGTTCACGGCAGCAGTTCTAATGAGTCGATTAAACGAAGTCGCCTTTCTAATGACGGCTCGGTGGAGGACATGGACACCTCTAACCCCCTATCTCAGATATCTACCACCGGAAATCTACTTCTTTCAAATGGAACCCTATCAGCTGTTGCCTCCTTAAAACCAGATCCGGAAGGTATCAACTCCAGCTATTCCTTCCAAACTAACACGCAAGACATCTCCGGAAACTGGAACCTTCATACTTCATCATCTGTGAATGCGCCTGCTAGTACAAGCAGTGGAGTAACTACTGCTGAATGCAATCGCAGGCGGGCTAGGGACGAGGGTGTAAGTACTTATTGCGTAAATTTTGCCCCTGAACATACACTAAGCCAATAGGATCATTCAGTAGCCGAAAGTCACCTTGAGTTAAGCAGGAATCAACTTGGCCATGATTCACTCCAATAGAACCGGAGGAAATAACACGTTGTGCTATTTTTGCCCTCCCTCTCTCCTCCCTTCCTCTCCCTTTCTTCTGGCTGAATTTCTCAGCTGCTGTCCAGAAGCCTGCCTTTTATGGCTCCTTGTTGATTGGTTAGTCTGATGCACGCGCAAGTGCGCACATGTGAACGTTAATGCGTGATTATGTGTGCGTTCGTGCTGGTCACGCGCGCCCTCGCCGTTCGTGAGTCAACCAGTGAGGTGTCGCGTTGTCCGCACGCTCCGTGTGCATGCGTCGACGTTCAATTGCGAGTCAAGGTCTTCCCCATCAGCTGACGGGCGTACGCAATCGCGTGCTCTGTATAACGCTTTCCATGTCCAGCACACTATGGGTTTTAAGATGGGATTAGAATAATGCCAGGGGTAATAATTATTTCCCTTATCAATAACCCAGCCACTGCTACTTTTTGGCCGGAGTTAGTGATTGATTGAGGCCTGGGCAAACAAACTGCTTATTTACGTTTCATTTAGCTTTAGGAATTATCAACTTATTTCCCTATTAGTGAACTAAATTTAATTAACAACAATGGCAAGCTTAATAGTTAACGCACGACGTGTAATGAAGATGGCAAGTTCTTTGAAAATAAACAGTGAAATACATGTAGTTTACAATTATGTGTATTCGTAAATGCCCAATTATAACATTGTAATTAGAAGCTTCGGGTAGTGTAAGGGTCTAGTGATTCATTTCTAATCTCAAGTGTCGAGAAACTCAAACCTTCTAGAATGCCTCCGTAGTGGTGAAATAGCCTTTTAGTTGACATGTATTTCATTTTCCACATTTGCGATGTTCCATCTCGGAAAACTCTAAAGACGTTTCCAGTATTAGGGACTATTCTTGAACGTGATTCAATCGGCTGCATACGAATTTCAGATGGTCCTTACTCTATCTTAAAAGTGGAATCATTTGTCCAACCGTAAAGATTATTATTTTGTGGAACAGGAATGTGGGAATGATAAATGCATTTTATTCGCATGTAGTTAAAAGAATTTAGGGTAACTTACTAATCGGTTTTGCATGTAGAGTGTTCTAGAGCTTGGTTAGCGTCTGACGATATGTAGTGGAGTCGATAAACAAGAATATCTTCCCAATGTAGAGGTTAAGTTAGAGGTGGAAATGGATCTTGAAATTTGTAAGTAAGGTAACAAGACCACGAAAGGCGAGTTGGAACAAGGTGACTCAGTGAATGACACAGCTTAGTAACTTTCGGCATAATAACCAGATGGATCAGCTGATAGATACGAAATTCAGATTAAGCGTAAAATAGAGATGTCGAGATTTGCACCTTTTTTTGCAAATGAGTGCTAGACTGAATTATGTACCCCCCCCCGTTTCTTGCTCATGATTCAGATAACTGAAGACGAGGCAGCAAGGCGGGAGAAACGACGAGAGCGGAATCGCGTGGCAGCGGCAAAATGCCGTCAGAATCGACAGAACCAAATCGAGGATTTGAAGTCTCGACGCAAGATGCTCGAGGACGAGGGTAACCAAGTGAGGCAACTTCTCGAAAACGCCAAACGGCAGAAACAGCAATATGAAGAATTGCTCAAGAACCACGCGGTGAGTGTTCTCATTCTCTTCTAATTGTGGCTTTTGCTTTAAAGCGAGCTCTTGAAATGGTACTCAGGCACCCTCGTGAAGACGTTTTCTACCACTTGAGTGAAGTGAGAGAGAGAGAGAGATAGAGAGTAACTTGCAGTCTCTTGCTAAGAAAAACTCATGCTCATCTCTCATTACTTCATTACCTAAGTTTAACCAATTACTGATTATTCCACTAATTAGTTGTGCACCAATGCTCATTCAGCATTTTGCCTATACCAAATGCGTTGTCTATGTACTGGGCTCAGAGTAAAACTGCAATTATGCAAGATTCATAAAGTTTCATCTTGATCTTCGGGGTAATGGAGGCAATTTATTATGGAATTAGAAAGGAGTGACTAAAAAACGGGTTAAGCGCGTTCCTGTAACCCATCCTCTACAGCCGTCTTAAATCACACGCGGTCAGCGGTTCAGATTAGATGCCCCTCCCACTTCAGAAAAATGCGTTCATTCACCATCTAGTCAATTAACCAGCTCCTCAATTGTTTGATAACTTCAAAGTAGAATTGACAAAAAGAGGATCTTAATTTTTCGTGCCAGTTTTAGAGGTAATTGATATCCCCATTAGAATGTAGCTTGAAGTATGGATGAATGAATTATCGAGGGGCGACCTTTTCTAGCACAAATTTCTGCAGAAAAGTAGTATTGAATAGCTCCGCTGAACAGTTAATCATTCTGTTCACTGGTGGCATGCTGATCGGATGTGACCTCTGGAATACATACATTGACCACTACACCATTCCGGATCTTTTTAGCCCAAGTTGGTGAAATCATTTCTTCCAAAAGATTCATACCTTTTTATTAGTAATAAAACACGAAAGTAAATTAAAGGCCTATAGCTCAACGTTATCTCCTCTAAGCAATCTTTTATTGTTTCCTTGAATTTGTAGAGAAATGGTTGTCCAACTGCTCAGCAGTATTATCAGGACGGAAGTCTCATTTTGCCTCTCTCAAGCGGTAACACCACCGTCTCAAGACAACAACCTGTAACAGCTTCTATCGATCTCTCCTCTATGACGCCGGTTCAAACCAGCCTACAGATCCTTCAGTCCTCAAGCACCCACCAAATTGCCCTTCCTACCACCACCACCACCGCCGTGATTAAACCAGAGGCCCCTAGTTCGAGTCAATCGTTTGTCCCTGCTCTACGACCGAGCAGCCTCCCCTTGGTTAACTCCACCAAGATCGAAATTCCTACTCCCACCCTGGACTCAAACACAGCATCCACATCTGCCAGTCAATTCGCTCGGATGTGGTCCTCCTCAATTGCCTCGAAGATTAAAACCCCTGGGGGCGAAAGTTGGGTCAATAGTCAGATTGGCCTTCCTCCGATCAGTGTCACTTCTGACAAGGATGGCATTATTTCCTCCACAACCACTACTACTACTCTCCTTTCGACTCCGGATATACTTCATCATCTTGGAGTCACTCTAGGAGCAGCCTCTCTCTCAAACAACTCAAGCAAGCCCCAGGATGAGAAGATCTCCAGCGCAACTGCGAATACCTCATCAACAATATAACCTAGAATTGCCTGCTTTCTGCAATAATAGTTGTAGTAGCCTGATCGTGTATATAAATCTCCCAAAATCGATTATTTCCCCTCCCCACCCCCCCATAGACTAAATCTAACTTTCTTTCATTTCTCTCTCTCTCTCGCAGTGTCATTCTAGACACAACCCCACCATCTGTGATCTAAATTGAGAAAGAGTAGGCTACCTAGATTTATCAATATCCTCAAGCTTGAGCGTGTGATTAAGAAGAGGAGAAAGCAATCAGTTGGATAGATTTCTGACTCGATTATTTGTCCTCTTCTACTCCTTCCCTTATTCTCAACGGAATCCTATTCTTCTCTCAACGCCAATAGACGCACACATACATTATCACTTATCAAATGACCGTCCTACATTAGTATTTTCTTCTGTCTCTTTCACCCATACTCTTCCATACACCCCTCCCCCACCTCCACCCCCCTCCCAACCCACTCCATTCTGGTTGAAGATGCCTCCTCTCCCCCAAAGTACTTCTTTACTTCAAAATATACATATTATTGCGTTGGTGAAGACGAATTTCTGTTCTCTTTTACTTGTACTGGCTGTAGGGTGATTCACCTAAAAGTGGGCTAAGAGTCAAAAGGTTTCTTGTGTATTAGTGCCTGGGTGAATCATTGCTTGGCTGAGTAGCTGAGTACTATATGCTCCTGCGAAATTTTGACCCTCGAAAATGACGAGTCGTTAATTTTCTTGCGAGTTTACTAATGATACGCCGATGAAGGATTGGTGTAAGCGTAGCGAGGATGACGATGAGTCACCAGGAAGTACAAAGTGGTGACTGAATGATTGAGAGTGTGTGTGTGTGTGGGGGGGGGGTGGGGTTTCCACTGTACTTGACTTGGGCAGGGAAAGGACATTCAGGACCCCCTTTCTGTGAGGAAGTTCCTTTTGCCATCCAGCCCATTGAAGTGAAGCAAGCAGTGCGGTTCTCTATCGACAACAATGGATGTGCAACGACAGGCATCGATTCCCCAACCTCCGACATGGCAAGTCCATTTCATCGTTAGTTTCTGAAGCCGTTGGGAAATTCGTGAAGTTGGTTTAGCGCAACATTTCTTCTATGCCTTTTGATCGATCAGAGTACGTTCTTATACAATTACTTGACAATCTGGTCTTTTAGACGAGAAAAATTTTGTCATTTAAAATATTCCAGCACACAGAATGGCAAGACTTGGCTTTTAGAGGGACTCTTCGAGTCACCCAGACTACACTTCCCCAATTCGGATATGTCCACTCCGCATGAATTCTAGAGTGGCTTAGATTGAATTCAAATGCTTAAACAGAGCTTGCTGTCCACTGCCCAATGGTTATGTCTCGAATATCGAGAGGTCATGTGTAGAGCTGCAGCTTGTTTCAGCCCCTGCCACACACCAAGAAAAGGTCGGGAATAGTTGCAATCAAATTTTACAATTACACCAGTTCAAGTGTATGTTTAGACCCCCCCCCCACCCCCCCC